GGGATAGAAATTACATTAGACTAACAAAGAAAAGCAAAAGTAAAGGCAAGGTAGAAACAGATACAATTTTTTTTTAAATGTAGTTCTAGTACAAGGCTTTAAACTGGGTGATAAAGTTAATTTAACACATAGCATAAAATCAAGACAACTTAGACAACCAAAGATAAAGAGCACATGATTAAAATCATGAAGAATGTCATTAAAAAATAAGCATCAAGAATGGACTGCATGGGAATATGTGTTGAAAGTGTAAAATGAATAGAAGCTTCATGTATACCTTCACTCATTTCTCCACTGGTCACCTCCATTTTCCCAGAGCCTTTCACAGTGTTTTTAACCTAGTATACACCCAAGAAAATTTGCTGAAGATCTACCATGTATCATAAAGGCTAGACATTGTGGATATACAATAATTAGATATGGTCTCTTCCTATAAAGAATTTGCATTCTAGATGGAAAGGTAAAATATATATATGTATATATATATAAAGTTGAATGTATGTATATATAAAATTGAATGTGTATATATAGTGTATATATGTGTGTGTGTGTATATATATGTGTATATATATATGAAGTTAAATGGCAAAACAAGGCAGAAGGAGCCAAAAGAAAAGCATAAAGAGTAAAAGCTACAGCAGTCTAGAGAAAGAAGAGATCACTGTGGAATGACCTGTTCAAGAACATTTTTGTGCAAATCAGGAACATTTGCAATGGGCCTTCAAAAACTAGATGGGATGGAGTAAGCTCTGACTTGAGCCAAGAGAAAGACATTCAAGGCATATTCATATGCTAACTGAACAAAGGCATGGGGTTGAGATAATAAAGGTGCTTTAAGGAGACAGTGAACAATCAAGTTTGGCTGTAATAAAAGGTATATGGAAACACAGGGTAGCAAAAGTAAGCTGAGACTGAAATGTGAAAGGTTGTGAATGTCAAGTTGAGGAGTTTGAACATATTATGTAAGCAATCCAAAAATAACCATAGTTTTTAGCAAAAGAGTAACGTGATGAATATGACATTTTAGAAATATTAAGCTGGCTTTTGAGGTACATTAAAAAATGGTGTACGTCTTCATTAAAGATGCAGCTATGGTCTTAAAAAACATGCATACAAATAAACTACATTGAATATAATACAAAGAGGGGAAGACTGGGAAAAAATAAACTTAAGAACAGAAGAATAACCCAAGATTTCTTTGTTGAGAGCAAGTAAAGCATAAACATAGAACAAAAAGGAAGTTATGCAACGGTAAGATTCCTAGGGTATAAAGAACAACTCTATTTTTACTTCTTCCATCATCACTATGTGTGTATGTAATTCAAGGTGCCTAAGCATAGAGTAGAATAGTTAGCTGCATTAAAGGAGTAACCAGTGAAACTCCCAAAGTGATACATAAACAGTGGTTTTACAAAGTTAGAGAAAATACAGTTGCATTAATGTGCTCAAAAAGTATTTGGAAAACAGAAGACACATGAGTTGTTAATTGCATTATTAATTCATGGGAAAACAAGGGGAACAACAAAATCACATCAGGGGCTGGGCACAGTGGCTCATGTCTATAATCTCAGCACTTTGGGAGGCTGAGTTGGGCAGATCACTTGAGGTCAGGAGTTCAAGACCAGCCTGGCCAGCATGGTGAAACCCCATCTCTACTAAAAATACAAAAATTAGCCGGGCATGGTGGCACACACCTGTAATCCCAGCTACTCAAGAGGCTGAGGCACGAAAATCACTTGAAACCGGGAGGCAGAGATTGCAGTAAACCAAGATCGTGCCACTGCCCTCCAGCCTGGGCGACAGAGGAGACTCCATCTCAAAAAAAAGAAAAAAGAAAAAAGAAAAAAAAGAAATCATATCAGGGTAGCAATATAAACGGATTAACCAGAAGAGTGGAGGCTTTTTGCTCAACACTACAACTATCCATTCATTTTAACATTAGTACATAACAAAAGCCACCTTTGGTTCTCAACTCTGTTCCTTAAAGATAATTCTCCCTACATTCTCTCAATCCTCTCAAGTAATTCCATAAATCTACCTTGTGCCTTCTGCAAAAACTTCAGTCTCATGAAATCTTACTCACTCCTTAATCCCACTTTAAAACATTAAATATATATTATAAATTTGCTGACATTGTCGTTAATGAAAGTAAGAATCCTTACCTTTCTTATAGTGTTGTGCAGTCAAAAAAAGTAACTTACAAACATTACCTCTTAGAACCTTCAGAGAAGCAATGCACAGTAGGTAATTATCATCATCCACATGCTATAAACAGTAAGCCCCGGGCCACACATTCATAAGTGATAGGGCCAGGCCTGCAGTGCAAGCTTCCTAAGTCCAAATTCCATTTTCTCTTCACTGTATCATTCAGTTTCATAATGTGCCAGTAGGTATATCTTATTACTCAAAATGTATGTTGTTATTCTGTACTATGTTTAAGTAAATACATCTTTTAATAAGATGCCTTTATGCCCAAGTGCTTACTACAGGGCCATTTCCTAAGAAGGCTTAATTACTTTAAGATGCTCGTGATGATAACAGTTATCACTAGATGAAAAGGGACAACGGAAGCATAATGTTTTCAAAATTGCTGAGACTATACCAAGAACATTTTGCCTTGAATTCTGCAATGCAACATGCAACAACAAAGACAGTAGGGGTAATTTAAGGATATGTGAGCTTCAAAGGGCAGAAATAGGACATTCTCATTCTCTTTAACTCGGCTAAAGTCTCAAATACTGATATAGTTCAGAGCATCTTATTACTAGGAAAACATAAATCAAAAGGAGTTCAGCTAGGAGCAATAAAACAGATTAGTGTCTGGAAGGACTGACTTTAAAGAAAGTTTTAAAAGAATTAGATCCAGGTAGTCTAGATAAAAAACAGCTATGAGGAAACATTTTTTTTTTTTTTGAAGCTAACACCCACACCAAAGGCAGAAATTATTTTGAAGATAGATGTCTAAAAAATGCAAACAGGAATAATTGTAAATACTTATAAAGGGAAAATTCAGGAGAAATTTCCCAGCAAAAGCTTACGGGACAGAAGAATCTCTCCCCTATGAGTGGTGAAAAACTACATTCCTAGAGATATTTAATGCCAGGTTGGACAAAACAAGAAAAGGATTCCATATGGAATGATCCTATACTGGCCCCTGACATGATAGAAGGACTGAAGGTGACCTCTTGGATCTTTTCCATTTATTTTTTTTTTTTTAATTCTATGAAGTTTTACAGGGCACTGCCTTCTGCCAATTTCTTTTCTCCCCATGATGCTCACTTTCTCCTTTCACAAAGGGAAACAAATTGTAGCCTTCATTTTAAGCAGATCTCATTGTTCTCAATGTAACATAATCCTAGGTACAAGGTTGAGAGAAACAGACCAATTTCTAAACTTATAATCTTTCTCCGCACCCCCGCCCCCACCCCCAGCAATTCCCGGGGCTCTTACAAGTTTTCCCACAAACTAAAGAGGAAATAGTTCAAATGGATTGGAAGAAGAGCTATCTCATTGGGAAAACCATTAATATTCTCCCTTCTTATGTCTGATCACAGAGCTGACAGTGACCCTGGGAGCTATAAGGTTCTGGGTCAAATTACCATCAGAGGTGCTGTTAAAGACTATCTTTTACCTTTCAGCATTTATGCTGAGTGACAGCAAAAAGTCCACTTGCAATCCACACTTTTATGGCAATGACTTTTATCTTTGAAAAGATATAGCCTTAAACACCTACATGCTTTGGCAAATGTTATAAAAGAGTAAGTCCTAGTCATGCTCCAAACTCAAGAAGCCTCAGCCTTGCCCTCTTTCTCTTATTCTGGCACTTTAAAAAAACGTTCCTCAGCCACCCTTGAAATACATTCCAATACCTCTCCAGAAGTTCTTTTCAATGAAGGCCCAAGAAAATACAAGGGCATTTGCTCCTTTAGCTGATTGGTAAGAACAAGATGTAACAAAATTCAGAGGGCTCTGAAAACCTGTCCCTGAGCCCTTTATATATAAAAGTGTAGTTTGCTTATGAGAAGGAACAACAGCCGGGAGAAAGCCCTCCAAGAATGGACACTAATGCCTCTCCTATCCCATCTTAACAGTGTCAATAGCTCAAGAAACGCCAATACCCATCGTGCCTCTTTGAAAGCACATCCCTCCACTTAAACAGGAAGTTCATAGATGTTAACACCTAGCCTTCTAAACAAAAATTTTTCAATAGCATTTTCATTTTTTTCCCTAGTAAAAATGAGACTGTTCAAACCAAAAAAGATTGGCCTCTCTGACTGAAATAGGATTTCAAGTTTTCAAAGCCCTTCCAACACTTACCTAATTCGGTCAGGAAAGAAAGCTGGCATTTGTAATCCCATTTTAAAACAGAAAAAAATGCAACTCTGAGATTAGGCAATCTGAAGAAGAACTAATTGTGGAGATTTCCAAACCTTCCTCAACAAGGGACCAATTTAAAAGGGATTATTCCAGAATACTTTAGAGTGCACTTCAAAAACGGCTGAATCCCTTCTGTACCCTCATCACAGGAAGGCAAGAAATAAGAAAAACAGAAAGGCACTTTGCCTAGAATTTTAGCAAAGAAATATGACTCTGACCTTTAATAATCTATGAACCTGGCTGAATTTTCTCAAAAAACCTGCTTTATCTACACCCCGCAGGACCAGCCCGCTAGCAGCCTCCAAGACAGCCGCCCAGCAAAAGGCCAGCAGCTGGGTGAGGACAACCTGGAGAACCCCCTTTGCGCAATGAGGTCAGGAGTTCCACACTGCAGCGTCTCCTCGTCTGAAGCTTCCAACTTTTCATTTTCAGGCGACCTGCAACCAGGTTCTCCAAATCTGCCCCAACGCGCGCGCGCGCGCATACACACACACACACGCACACACGCACACACACACACGCACACACCCACGCACACACACACACACGAACATAGAGACACACAAACCCAGCGGGTGCTCGCTTCCGCTCCCCTGATAAAGAATGGTAATCAAGTTTCTCACCATCCTCATAGTTTTTGAGATAGTAATCCGGGCCCGGGCCCCCGCGGCTTTTCGCCGGGTTCCTCAGGTTCTGGAACTGCAGGAAGTCGGTCCTTTTGCCCCCGAAGCGCAGAAAGGCGGGCGAAAGTCCCCGGGCCAGGGTCACCAAGCGCTTGGAGCTGCAGAGGAAGAGAATAAGAGAAGAAAGTTCCCCGGGACAGGACGAGAGCGCGTGGGGCACGGAAAAGGGCCCTCTTCCTACTCCCTGAGGGTGACCTGGCCAGGGCTAGAGGCTCTGTGCCTGCCCCAGCCGGTAGTCCACGCTGGCCCCTGGCCGTTCCCGCAGCTTCTAGCTAGTGCCCCGCGCCCCAGCCCGCCCTCACCGCCCAACTCCGGGGGCTATGCCTCTCGCTTCCAGGCGCCCGCAGCGGCCCCCTCCCGCAGACACCCAGATCCTGATCTCCTAAAGGCTACAGACTGTATTTGTTCATAGAGTGTTTGTACGGGGTGGGTGTACGTGCTACGAGCACGGCGCTAAAGCGTAGTTGCCCGGCTTCTGCCACTGCCAGGAAAGCGCTCCGGGTGGAGACGCGCTAGGCGCGCCTACCTCTGGCTTCCGACCCTTGCCAAAAACCTGTATGCTGAAAGCCGGCATTGCCTCCTCAGCCCCAGGGGCCCCACAAACCTCCGTGCAGGAGGTGAAACCTGCCTTTTTTCTCTCAGACCAGGCCCGGCGCCTGAGCTTAAGTGGATTCCTACTTTCTTTCTTTTAATGTCCGAGTTGATTTGTCTTTTTCACTATATTGTAAAAACCGCATTGTTTCCCAAATCCCCGGACGGAGAGATCCCCAGGGTAAACCCTTGCCTTTCCAAGAACACTTCTCCACTCCCGCACCACCACCACCAGCACACACACACAGAGTAAAGGCAAAGTCTCTTTGGCCCCTGAAATAATTCGGCCTGATCTCAGGAAAGGTAACATCCTCCTCCCCACCCCACCCCGGAGTTAGGCTCCATCTTTCTTCTTTCCCACTTGGGGCCGTTTGGAACCGCTAGGGAAAATGAAGCTAGCCGAAATGTGGAACCTGCGCGTTAGGGGATACTAAATGAGCATTAAAACAATAGCATTTACATCTATTTAAGGTCAGGATTTCCATCAATAGGTTTTTAAAAGCCAAAGGCTGCTGCTTTGGGAAGGAGTAGGGAAGGAGCAATGCAGATACTGATAATGCTGAGGGGATCTGCTGCTGAGTTCCGGGTCTGTAAATTATTTTTTAACGCTTTACTGTTTCAGATTCTGAAAACCCAAATCCAAATGGTGACGTTAAAGAGCATCATAAAGTAGGTGGATACGAGAAAGAAAAAACAGACTCTGCTTTTGGAGTTTTTTGAGAAGAGACGTGGCTACCCCAGGGTCTTGTAACCAGAAGGGTCGTTTGGCTGAAGTCTCCGGGACCGCGCTCCAGGACAGGCACAGTCAGGGCGTCGCGTGGGCCTACTGTGGCAAAGGAGACGTCCGCGCGAATCCGGTCCTGGGAAAAGGGCAGTTCCAACAACCTTTCATCCAGGAGCCTGCACAGCCAAAGCGAATGCGCTCCGCCAGGACTTCTTCCCCGAAAAGCTGCCTTCCAGACTCTTTTCTGAGGCAGGAAAGCATTAGGCGAACAGGCTGATTTTTAAAAAGAAGAAAGCTAGAGGGGAAAGGGGTCTGCGCAGCTGAAGGAGTTCAATGCAAGTGGGACAAGCATTGCGGAAAACTCCGTTGCACCCTACATTCGGACGAGCTCAGAGACGCACTCTGCTGCACCAAGGAGCTTTCGAAGAGGAAGCTGGGCCGCGCAGAGCTGGCTGTTCCGCCCTGGCAGCAACCGCACCAGCAGGAACCGAAACGGCCTCCGCAAGGGAAGCTACAGCCTCTCAGTTCTTCGGCTGCCCTTCCTCCATGTGGAAGGAGCGCTCCACGTGGCGCCTCCCGCTACCTGCGGCATCCGCAGACCTGACCCGGGCCAGGGGGACAACCCCAAGAGCTGAGAGGCGGACGCACCTCAAGAAGCAAAACTCGAATTTCGCAAGGAGTGAAAAATACGAAGGACGCACAACGGACGTGGCCTCGGGGCAGAGTGGGACTGAGAGCGCTGAAGGCTCTTCGAGGGGAACCCACAGCTGAGGCTCCAACTTGGAGGGAATTTTTAAAAACTCAACACTTGGATTCGACATTGCAGAGGATGTATTTCTTATTTTACACTGCAACTCTGTCCCTGATGGGAAGGGATCGTAGTTGCCTAACTGCCAAACTGCAACAACCCGGGGAGAGTGTGAGCCCAATTAGATTACAAGCCCTAGAGCAAAGGGAATCACAAACCTCCGGGTTTGCTAATCCGCTGGTGCGGGGTTCAGATCTCCGAAGCCTCCCTGGAGTATTTCTGGGTCTCTTACCGCTTCCCTTATAACGCTGTGACCCCAGCGAGGATTTTTTTTTTCTTTTCTTTAAAGAAAAGCTAAACTGTGCAGTTACCGCAGGAGATTTGAGGAGGAGGAACTGAGGGGGAGGGGGGCATTCCGTCTATAAAAAGCGCCTTACAAAGTCCTGAAGTCTGGAGATGACAGCGGAGGATATAAAATAAAAAAATTTAACTCCGATCCAACTTGCCCACCACTCAAGCCTCTGCTTAAATTCGTTTTCTGTCTGAGAGTGGGAGAGAACTGACGAAACGAGCTTTCCGTGGAATATTCCACTTTTCGTGCAATCCCGCTTGAACATTCACAGACACACACACACACTCCTCTCTGTCGCACATACACACACACCCCCACACACACATACTCATTCTTTTCAGCTCTTTGTTGTTTGAGATCTTTTCTTCGCTTTTGTAACTGCTCTGAACCTCTTGTTTCTTTTTCAGAAGGAGACGGGGAGGCTAATTGTGGATATATGTAAGCACAACATTTTTTCAGTCATAACTGATAAGTTTCTGAAATGCCTTCTGCATTGCAAACATGTGCATCTTAATAGAAAACATTGCTTTTCCCAATCACTAGTTACAGCCTCATAGCACACAATCCAGGAGGAGGAAAACCTCCTTTCTTCTCTTTGAGAGATCTGCTTGGCTTACTTTCTTCTTTCCCCTTTGGAATCGGGGATAGGAAGGGGTTGAGGGGATGTTACTAAAAAATTTTAAATGATCCATCGAAGCCCCTGCCTTACCTTAGGAAATCGAGCCAGCCATCATGAATGATGGACGGATCCAGCTGCAGAGAGAGGAAGTTCTCATTGACTGTCCTGACTGGGTTCTTGGTGCTCACATCAAGTAGAATCAGGGTCTTTTCCTTCAAACCTGTAGCTCTGTCTACAGGCAAGGGTCTCCTGTCTCCAGCTTGGGAGGAAAGGGAGAGATGGAGCAACAGAGCCAAGTAGAGAGCCCCCGGGGCTAGGCACGCGGGGGGGCGGGAGTTGCTGGAGGGCATGGCTTCAGGGAAGGCACAGAGCACCCTCATTCAATCCCTCTGATTTAAACTTCTCTTCCTACTTGGTCTCGCTAGTGACTAATTGTCCTTATCTAAAGTGTGTGTCTGTCCGCCTTTTTCCCCCCTTTTTTTCCCTTCCTCCCCCCCCCCCCCCCACACACACACACACACACTCTCTCTCTCTCTCTCCCTCTCTTTCTCTCGCTCGCTCGTTTTTTTGAATTTTTTTTTTCTTATTTTTTTTTTCAGTGTTTTGGTGCTGGTGGAGCGAACTCACGCCCCTAGCCAGCCTTCCCAGTGACTCTTGCCAAGAGAACTCGTACACCGGCACCGCCCCTTTAAGAGATTTCTACTGCAGACATTTTTTAACTTTTTAAAGGTAAGGGGAGGGAGGCAGGCGGGAAGGAGGAGAAAAGGGTGGCGTTGTACCCTCCTAATTTAACCCTCTAGGGTCAGGAAGCAGAGGGAATCCAAACCAAGCCGTTGTACCGTCTCGGGTACAGAGCAAGGCGTCTCGTTTTTTACTTCCCTCCCTGCGAGGCTTTGGAGGGCTGGTCAAGCTCCGACTCCGACCCGAAAGCCCCAGCGCCAACCCCGAGCGCGCTGGAGTAGTGTTCCCACCGACAGCACGTTTGTTTGTCCTGATAGCGTCAGGCACTTCATCCGCTCAGGGCCCTTTTCTGGTTGAAGCAGCAATAGCAAGGGCGGTTAAGTTGAGGCGTTGACTCCTGTCAAAGCCTAGAGTCCTGAAGTAGATTCCCTGAACAGGAGCCCTGATCTCTGTGATGCGTTGGGTAGCCACACGGAAGCATCCTCTGACCTCGATTGGGCAAAGAGTGGCAAGAAGCAAAAACACAGTGACCTGGTCAAGCAGCTTCTCCGATCCGAGGGCCAAAAGGGACATGCGCCCTGGCTCTGCTCTGCTCTTGCCTGCAACCGAGGAATAAAGGTCTTGGGAGCGTCAATATATGCTGGCTTTGGCCAAGTCGAAGCTACCTGGACTGTGCTTGGATAGTCAGGGCGGCTCTGCGTCCAACTGTGCCACTGCTTGGCCACTCTATTCTGCTGCACAGGTAGAGCCCCCCTCCAGACCCTCCTGGAGGTCAATCCTATACTTAGCCCTCCTGCAGGGAAGTGCGCCTTTACAGTGTCAGATGGGACCATAGTGACACTTTCGGGTTTCCATCTCGGCCCCCAGTCAAAACGAGAGTCACATAGCCCTGAATGGGGAATAACAGCCGGAAGCCGTGTGATGCACGACCCGCCGCTGCTCATTGAGCTTCCACCCCACAACAGCTTGCAAACTGAATTCTAGGTCCTAACCTGAAGCGCGCGGGAAAGGAATCAGGCACAGTTTGCTGCAGTCACATTGCTGGGCCCCACTTTCGGCTTCTTTCTGGAACAAAATGGGCCTTCTACTTGGCAGAGAAGGGAACTCCTTTATGTAGTGTGGGCAGGCACAAACGCTGAAGCGTCCAGGGCCCTCCTTGGTATCAAACAAGTAAAACCCTAAAATGCAGAGCAAGGGTTTTCCCCAGGGGTGGATGGACAAGGGTTAGTCTTAAAGCCCAGCAAACGCTGTAATAGCAACCTGTATCCTCTTACCTCCACCCAGACCAGGATTAACTATCTGAAAAGAGCTGGAGTAGATGACCTTCAGCTGAAGTTCCCTGAAAAGCCTCTACAAACCTAAGCATCCAGGAAATCGAGATTATGTTGCATTCATCTGTGAAGGGCCATGACGACCTTTTAGAAATAGGACTGCATAAAATGAGGATATGGGAGAAAGCAAATGCAAGTCATATTATTTAAAGATGATTTTCTAAATCAAGCTGTTACATAGTGAAGTACTGGATGTTGGCTCCAGCCCTAAGGCCTATTTCCTTCAGTTCCTGAACATTTCTAACACATCTAGATCCTTTAAACTGTGTGTGTGTGTCTGTGTGTGGGTGTGTGGTGTGATACAAATTTCAGTCAAAATTTTTGTAATTTTTAAGTATGTATTGAGCACCTCTTAGAGATGGCAACAGCCTGGCGAGCAAACACTTTTGTCTTTGTGTTCCCAGACCAGAGCACTTAGTAGGCACTCAATAAATTCTGTGAAATAAATTAATGGTAAATCCAATCATGCTCAACACACTGAAATAATATGCCCCTCTCCAGAAGAATGTGAAAAATAAATACTTTTATTTGTCACAGTAAATTATGTTTTGGGTTTCTGTTCAATAATTTGTTTTCCCAGTTATTAACATTTTCCTGGCCATCTCCTTCAAAAAATACTTACCTTATAAAGTCATTAGTTCATTTGCTATATTAAGAAATTTTTAAATTATATATTTTTGATAATGAGCCAGATTTTCCAAGGGCCTAAAAAACCCTTGGCTTACAAGTGAATGCACCTTTAGAAGCCATGTTAATTAGGACCAATGGAAGTCAATTTGAATAAATATGTCCACTAGATGTCTATAATTAATATTCCTTTCAAAAATACCTATTCTTGTGACCAAGAATGAACTTGAGTATAATGAGAATGCGCTTAATTATGAATTTTCACCATTTTGGCTTACTGACCTAACTACTCTGTAATGGTTTCTTGGCCTAATTAAGTAGTATTTAATGTTTTCATCAGAATCTGTATGTGATATTAAAATCAAAATCAACAAAACAAACTGCTTGTTTTCTTAATTCCCGATGAAAGCCATTTCTCTAGTCTAGCCATTGAAATTCTAAGTCATTCTATAGAGGACATCAGGGGAAAGAAATCACTGATATTTAAGGGGTTAGCCCTGGTTGGTCACTAAGATGATTTGATTGTTTGGTCCTTTGGTTTAGTTTGGGTTTAGATCTCCAGAGATACTCTTTGCAAATAGCTGCCACACATACACTATATCATGGTTTTTGTCTTACCTCTCATCTAGACCTAAATAATTTGCTGTAAGTAGTTCATTATTCATCAGTATATTAGATTGATGTTTCTATCCTATCTTCTGTGTGCTAGGTGACAGCAATCTGCATCTGTTTTGTCTTAGATTGTAATTTCCTAAAAGACAAGTATTGGGCCTCTGCATAAAATATAAACTGTCAGGCCAGGCGCAGTGGCTGACATCTGTAATCTCAGCACTTTGGGAGCCAAGGCGGGTGGATCACCTGAGGTAAGGAGTTCAAGACCAGCCTGGCCAACATGGTGAAACCCCATCTCTACTAAAAATACAAAAATTATCTGAGCGTGGTGGTGGGCACCTGTAATCGCAGCTACTCAGGAGGCTGAGACAGAAGAATTGCTTGAACCTGGGAGGAGGAGGTTGCAGTGAACAAGGTGGAGCCATTGCACTCCAGCCTGGGTGACAAGAGCAAGACTCCATCTCAAAAAAATAAAAAGTAAAAATAAAATTAAAAAAATAAAATATGAACTGTCAGGAACTAGATGCATTGATGTCTCCTTGGAAATGCTCTGCTTAGTGTCTACTGAATGGTATTCATAGATAAATTGCTTTGATATCTAAGAGCCCAGGTTCCCAGAACTGTAAGAAAACATGAAGATTAACTGATTCAGTGATTTCTAGACTTTGATATTTCAAAATAAATATTAGTTAGTGGGAAGGAGTGGACATATGTTTGTCAAGATTTTGTTTTGTTTTGTTTTTTGAGACAGTCTTGCTCTATCATCCAGGCTGGAGTGCAGTGGCACAATCTCAGCTGACTGCATCCTCTGCCTCCAGGGTTCAAGCAATTCTCCTGCCTCAGCCTCCCAAGTAGCTGGGACTACAAATATACACCACCACGCCCAGCTAATTTTTTGTAGTTTAGTAGAGACGAGGCTTTACCATGTTGCCTAGGCTGGTCTCAAACTCTTGAGCTCAGGTAATCCACCCACCCCAGCCTCCCAAAATGCTGGGATTACAGGCGTGAGCCACCATGCCCAGCCCTGTTTGTCAACTTTTTATTTTGTCTAGTAAGGACCTTAATAAAAACTGTCAACTACTTATCTCTATTACTTTCCAAAAGAAAAGAAAATTTTAACATCTGAACAAAAGCTAAAATGACATGTCAAAATAAAGAGCAGTTGTTTAAACTGGAAAAATTTAGCTTTATGAAAAATACTGGCCAGGTGCAGTGACTCACGCCTGTAATTCCAGCACTTTGAGAGGTCGAGATGGGTGGATCACCTGAGGTCAGGAGTTCGAGACCAGCCTGGCCAACATGGTGAAACCCAGTCTCTACTAAAAATACAAAACTTAGCTGGACATGATGGCGGGTGCCTGTAATCCCAGCTACTCGGGAGGCTGAGGCAGGAAAATCACTTGAACTGAGGAGGTGGAGGTTACAGTGAGCCGAAATATGCCATTGCACTCCAGTCTGGGCGACAAGAGCAAAACTCCATCTCAAAAAAAGAAAAAGAGAAAAGAAAAAGAAAAATCCCTGTATTAGTATCATTTCATCTCAGACAGGTGGAAATATATACCAGTGACCAACATAGGTACTAGGACTGGTGAATAGGACTACTGAGATATTATTCTGTGTTTATGTCCAAATTCTACTTTGTAGGGTATAGTATTGCAAGATGTACAGCTAATGGTCATCTTGACTACAATGATTACTTTTTTTTTTTTTTTTCTTGAGACAGAGTCTTGCTCTGTCGCCCAGGCTGGAATGCAGTGGCACAATCTTGGCTCACTGCAAGCTCCACCTCCCAGGTTCACACCATTCTCCTGCCTCAGCCTCCCAAGTAGCTGGGACTACAGGTGCCCGCCACCATGCCTGGCAATTTTTTGTGTGTTTTTTAGTGGAGACAGGGTTTCACCGTGTTAGCCAGGATGGTCTCGATCTCCTGACCTTGTGATATGCCCACCTCGGCCTCCCAAAGTGCTGGGATTACAGGTGTGAGCCACCGCGCCCAGCCTACAATTATTTCTTTTGACTTTTCCTATGCCTTTTTCTCACTTTCAGCCTGTCACAAACTCATTAACTCTACATGCCGCCCGCCCTTTCCTTCTACTAAACATTAAAAGCTTAGTTTTCACTATTCCCATTTTCCCCTTCTGCAATAATTATGCCTAGCTGTCTAATAGAAATTTTAAAAAATGCTTTACACTGTAACTAGGACTGGGAAGCATGAAGACATA